GGCCTGGGAAAAGGAAGGATTTCTAATATCAGTATGTGATTCACTTTCATGTTCCTACCCTCCGTGGGAAGCCAGAACTCTATCGGTTTTAGCTAATGGACTTTGAGCAGGAATCCTACCCACGAACTGAGTAGAATAGATGAGATATGGATCTACCACTGCCCCACTTAGCGGAAACAGCTAAGATGGGACCCACAAAGAAATCCAAAGTGAAACCCCTGCCTGAAAACACAAGGAACAGTTAGAGTAAGCATGACTGAGTATGAAGAAGACAAATAATTGCTATGATGTCTTTGAATCTGCAAGATTCAATTAATCTTAAGTTATTTATAAATATACAGTTTTATTGAACAGATACTACAAAACAGATACTGAGCCAAGGTCTATCACTGTGTTCACCTCATTTACCCTTTAAAACTCTATAAAGTAACATCCCTTCTTTTTTCGCAAATGATATATATACCATTTGATATATATATATCAAAGAAGTCAAGTAGCTTGTTCCAGTTCACAGAAAATTAAATGGAATATCCTCTGTGGCTCTAACTATGTTACATCTAGACCCTTAAATGTGTTCTATCTTCTCTAATCTCTGTGACTTGAACTTCCTGACAACATCATCATTCCATCTGTACCACAGACGTCTACTCAGTTCACTCCCACTTGTCCTTTGCATCAGGGCTTGTTCTCACTTCCCCAAGGAGTCCTTCCTGTCCCACCCACCCTCCCACCCCCAGTTCCAGTTAGCGGTCCTCCTACATGCTTCCATTTCCCCATCCTCGCATCTGTTATCTTTCTGAAAGTGTCTATGTACTAGATGCAGTCTCTCCCTTGGCTAGAATCTTCATGAACCCAGAACCAATACCTTATTCTTAACTTCATTTTCAGTTAAAAAGGACTGGTTCCCAGCAGAATTCCATAAAAAGGTTTGAGTTGATTGAGTCCTAGTGTTTAGAATCAAGGGATGAAGCCAGAATAGATTATAGGCTATAGTTACTAGGGCCAGTTTCAAGATGGCTGGCAGAAACTGGCTTAAAAGTGTCCCCCTAGTCCCATTTCTTCTGAAGCAAGGGAAGAATTTAGATGGGGGTTGAGAGCATCTCATTTGGAGCCTGTGGTAGCTTGTGTCCATCATGGCTGAGCTCCAGAAACTTCAGAGACAGATACACTCAGTGTGATCAACTTGGTGCCTAAGTAGGAAGGCCAAACTTCGGAACTGCCTCTCTTGAGTGCCCTGGGATGAAACTGGATAAAAAGGAGAGAGGCTATAAGGAAACATTATATCACAACCTTCCAAGTTGGACTCTAGAATAAGGTCTGAAACCTCAACTTCTTGTTATTTTACTGGTCATAACCTCCTCCATCCTTGTACCCCTGATCCCACCCATCCCAAACCCTACCTCCAGCATTACCTTCAACCATGCTGCTCTTCTGGGTGCTCCCTATTTAATTCATCTTTTCTGAGCAGCAAATCTTGCCTTGCCTCCTAAAATAATTAGAAAGATTGGCGGTATTTAAAACTGAGCTATCTGTTAGAAAGGTTGATGGTTGATCTTCATTTTCAACTTGATTAGATTTAGAGTCACCTAGGAGATACATTTCTGGATGTATCTGTGAAGGTCTCTCTCAAAGTTTTAACTAAGAAGAGAATATCTTTGAATCACATAAATATGGGTGGCACCATTTCATGAGCTTGGGTCTTGGAATGAGTACATAAAGAAAAAAAGCCAATAGAACAGCATTTCTCAACCTGTGGGGGTTGAACAACTCTTTCACAGGGGTCACATATCAAATATCCTGCATAACAGATACTTACAATTCATAACAGTAGTAAGATTACAGTTATGAAGTGGCAATGAAATAATTTTATGGTTTGGGGTCACAACAACATGAGGAACTGTATTAAATGGTCACAGCATTAGGAAGGTAGAAAACCACTGCAGTAGAGCATACAATTCACCTTCCTCTATATCAGCTAAGATGTGAGCAAGCAGCCACATAGCATCTGCCACCACAAAGCCACATTCCACCATACCTTCTTAGCCAAGACGGACTGTATCCTCCTCAAACTGTAAGCCAAAATAAACTTCCCATCCATTAAATAGCAATGAGAAAAGTAATCAACAGACCATGACAATTTAAAATTCCCCCATGATCTTCTGTTACATTAAAAGCTTTGAGTATGTAGCAGAGGGTCTCCAGATCCCAGCACAAAAACATCAGCCTAGATGCATTACATGGTTGCCACTCACAGCCACTGCCTGTTCATTATCTGGTTCAGGGCTTTCTTCTCTGCTTCGGTCACCCCTGAGATCTCTACACCATCATGAATCTCAGTTGATTCTCATTTCTAACAGCTTTAATACAACTATAGTCACTGTCCTTTTTTTGTAAATAGAAACTCACACTCCGTGAGGAACAGCTCAGTGTTGGGTAGAGAATAGATGGTTTATTTACTCTGTGCTTTTAAAATTCAGTGAACTTCTCTAAGAAAGATATACAGCTCACATAATTTTACTGACTCATCTCTCAATAAAGAGCACTTTTGAAGTTACTGAACTCTAGACCTAGATCTTAGATTCTTAACAGCTCTTATATTTAGCATTAAAAATTATTGTTATTATTTGCGATGCATGGATTGAATTTTAGGGCCTACTTTGTGCTAGTCTGTTATGTTATTACTAGGATATATATATATATATATATATATATATATATATATATATATATATATATATATATATCCTGCTTTCTTTTTACTTTTCAAAATAAAATTTAAGACAGTCTCACTAAGTTGCAAAATAGAGTTTTGATTCACTGAAGCCTGAGGAGGCTTCGAATTTGCAATCCTCATGCCTAAGCCTTCCAAGGAGCAGGGATTACAGGTCTGTGTAACTGAAAGTTTTTCTGTATCCCAGCTGGCAGGTGGTTGGGACAAACTCTCTCATCCACCAGTCCTGCAGTCACTCAGACCCAAGTAAACACACAGAGGCTTATATTAATTAAAACTGCTCGGCCATTAGCTCAGGCCTGTTATTGACTAGCTCTTATATTTAAACCCATTTTTGTTAATTTATAAATTGCCACATTTTCCATGACTTTACCTGTGTGCTGTTACATGCTGCTCCCTGGATGGCAGGCTGGCATCTCCTGACTCAGCCTTCCTCTTCCCAGAATTCTCCTTGTCTGTTTATCCCACCTATACTTCCTGCCTGGCTACTGGCTAATCAGCATTTTATTTAACAACCAATTGGAGCAACACATTCATAGCATGCAGAGCACTATCACCCATCATTTCCCCTTTTCTTTCTATTTAAAAGGAAAGTTTTAACTTTAACAGAGTAAAATTATATATAACAAAACAGTTATTAATCAAGAATTATAGTTATAATATTTAGTCTATTTGTATTTGGTAAAAATCAAAGAAGATATCCTATCTATCCTATATTTGTGAGTCTAAAGTTTTATATCTAATTTATCTTTTACCATAACCAAGGAAAATTATAACTATATAGTCTTCAACTACATCAAAGACCTCAGAAGGATATAACAGGCCTGCTTACCACACTTAGCATTTTTAGCATCTCTATGATGGCATGAGTGCCAGCTTGAATATAGCTGACACATCTCAGAGGGTCCAGAGTCTTCTCTGGAGCTATTCTTACTGTTCCTGGGAGCCCAAGACACATCTTCCAAACTCATAAAATGTTCACCGTACTTTGATACGAAACATTTATCATGCCAAAGTCCTTTAGTGTTTATTACTTAGGTGCTTACTTCCTATAATACCAATAGGCATTGAACCTAGAGCCCTCACAGGTAACGATGGTGTACTATCTCTAGGGAAAATGTTACCAAGTTCAAAAACTAACACAAACCCTCTCATTTATATTGTTCTTTAAACCACGGTCAGATTGTTGACCACAAGGAAATTTTAGAAAGGGGATGTCCCATCTTACCCTGCTCTATCATTTCACATTAACAGCCCCTGGGTCCTCAGGACTCTGACCCTCTACAAAACTATCTTTCTCACAATAATTCTCTGCTTGGTACCCTAAGTGGATATCATGTAGCAAAGACAATAACTCCCAGAAGTAGAGATCCTTGCCCAGGATCCCTAGGGAGCTGGAGGGCCGTGGCCTCCTACAGTGTGAGTCAGAAACCCTGAGAAAGCACTCTGGGCCATGTGCCACATCTCAGGGTGAGTCTGACTCCCTTTTGATGAACTTTGAGGACTCAGGGCTCTAGGGTACATAATGGCACAAGCTGCTACGTTGGCAGCATGTCAGAGAGCTGTTTCTCCACCCAACTTGGACAAAAGTCTCCCAGACAGATGATGTCAGTGGAGCTTGAGGAGAAACTCATTAAAATCTGTGCTCTCAGTGGCTGAGAAAACATTTCCCGGAACCCTCCGGAACTGATGATGTGAACTTAGACTGTGTAGTCATTCTGGAGAGAAACTTGGCAGTACACAGTGAAATTGTGAGAGCCTACACCCTGTGAACTAGCTACCTTCTCTCTGTAGTCTACACCTCAGAGGAGCTCAGACATGGTCAATAAAGGGACAGGTACAAGGTTGGTTCCTGTGACCCAAGGGAATAGCAGTCATGATGATGGTACTTAGGTTAGTTAACACCTGCTAGGTGTTTATGTTTTAAGATTCTCAATACTTGAAGGAGATACCTTTATGAACATTATTTTAGAAATGAGAGAACTGAAGATTCACAAAGCTGAGTAAATGGGCTGAGTTCATACAACTGGAAAGTGGGTTAAAATAACAGACAATCAGCTCTGAGGATGTTTTACAGAGAGAGAGAGAGAGAGAGAGAGAGAGAGAGAGCGAGAGAGAGAGAGAGAGAGAGAGAGAGAGAGAGAGAGAGAGAATGCAGCACCAGAGCATTTTAAATGTATCACTATGCAGAGACACCCAGCCTGTTAGTGAGTCCCCATGAGCTGTCACAAGTGGGATCCAGAGATGACAAAGACATACATAGAACACAAAGAAATAAAACAAGAGACTGTCTTGCCTAGAACAGAGATAATTGAGTGCCTGGAGTTAAGGTGGTGCTTCATTCCACTCACTTCCCCTGACATTCGCATCCCCATCCCTACATAATCCCCTCCACACAATTAGAACCAAAGCTTCAGCTAGACTTTAGGGAGGATCAGGGGAGATACATCACTCTCAGGCTCTTCCTTGGGGCTCCATCTGGTGAAGAGAATCTTTTAGCTGTGTGCATGCTCCCTGGTGTTTTCCTTCACTTCACAGAGTAAGGCATTTCGTCCCATTCCATAGGTGAGAAGGAAAAAGTACAGAAAGGAAGCAGCGTTAGTATTTCCAGCAGGAAATAGCTTCAGCCCTGTGCTACAGAGCAGAGCATAGCAAGGGGGCCAGGCAGCCACTGGCTTCCCAGAAACAGAGGCACTGTTCTAACAGTGCAGGATGGGACATCAAAACAAGGATGATGATAATAACGTCTTCTAGAGGTGTTTGGAATAGGATATCATTGCAAACGTTGGAGAACACTATTTATTTACATGTCTTGTATTTCTAGGGGCAGCTGACCCTAACATTTAGCGTTATTTACATTTTTGCACAAGGTGGTTGGCCATAAATGAGCGTGTCTTGATCTGGTCTTGCCTGTGCATCTAAAAAGACAAATGCTGATCAAGTATGTTTATTGTTCACATACCTGCATATGGTTGTTCCTCATGTGGGAGTGAACTTAGTTCATCCATAGTTAATTCTGTGGCTACATGGGTTTCAAGGAATAATTCAACAGGACATTTGTTAATGACAAATGCCCAGTGACTACATGAAGTTATCTTCCCTGCCCTCCCTTCACCTCACCTCTGCTATCCTCTCCTTTCCTTCACAGTCCCTTTGTGCCCATGGCACAGCCAGAGATGGAGGGCTAGTAAGACAGAAGCACCCCCATCTGCCCAATGCTCATCTCCAGACTATTGATTTCTTAGTAGTAGGCAGCTCAGACCTCAGACCAAGAGCAGATCATCTTCATAATTAATAGAGTCAAACAATGCACACCAGAACTTTAAAAATCAGTTTCTTAATTTAAAAATTCAGTATAATAACACAATGGGATTCTGTTAATGATTCATGAATTGGGCAGCCTCGTATCCATAAAATACAAAGGCTCTCTGATGATCTGGCAGAACATCTGGGTTTTTTGAGGGAGCGTGAATAATGATATTAAACAGCAGTAGATTGGTTAACATCAATTTGCCTTAGGTAACTTTCCTTGTCAGGGTTAGAGCAAAGGGAACTTCCTCCTGCTGGCTTGTTTAGGGAGTTGGCAATGGCCTCTCTTCTAACTGCCCACAGATCTTATAAACACATAGTCCAGGCTTCAGCCTGTGATCAGCATCTTAGATGCTGATTTTGAGTTAATCCATTGAGGGCTGATTTCAGGAGCTCAGTCCAAATCAATGATAATCTGCCTTAGTTTTCTGTTGCTGCACCTAAATACTACACAGTAGAATAAAGGTTTTGCCTGTTCATGTATATGAAGGTTGAGTTGTACAGAGTAGTGAGGTGTCACAGGACATCATATGAACAGGTGAGCACATCTACAAGAAATGAGGACAAACTTGGCTTTTATACCAGTCTTGAGATTCAGTCTCAAGGTAACTTATTAATTCAAGAATGGACTCACCCATTCATGAGAGCAGAACCCTTACAGCCTAATGATGTCTTAAAGATCCCAACCTGTCCCATCTCTTAATATCTTGTAATGCAAATAAGATTTGTGCATGATCTTTGGATAGGGCATTCAAACCATAGTGGTCTCCTGTAAATTCAATTTAACAGCAGTGGTAAGGAGTATTATTCACTGTGTGTCAATTACATACATGTGTGCTTACCATGTGCCAACCACAGTGATAAATGCTTTCTGTGTCTTCTCTCATTAATGGCATTAGAAAACTACTTGCACATTTTTAGATAAACAGGTGACATTCAAATGGATGAAGGCCACTCAGCCATAAAGCTGCATAACTTAAGATTCAAATTAGCGTTGCCCTGGCCCAAGTTGGTTCCCTGAACATTCATATCATAGAGAAGCTTCAACCTTTGCATTAGCCTTTGGGCTGTGGTGGGTGGGACCCCCACACCTATCTAGGAAAGGAAGTCTACTTATCATTGTTCCTTGATTGACTGGTCTGTTTCCAGGCAACACGTTCAAAAGAGTGCATTCAAGGGGAGTGGTCTTTTGCAGCTTGTGCTGTAATGGGCTCTGATCAGGCTTTTTTCTTTGAGAGATCTTTGCTGTCTCAAGCAGACCAATTCCTGTTCCTCCTTTCTCATGCCCTTCCCACGGGTCCACTGCAGCTGCTTCCTGCTGGCTTTGACTCCGTGCACTGCTGGGTGCCCAGTGAGTAACTTGTCCCTTGTGCGGCCCTGAGCAGGGTGGAGAAGTGACCTCATGAATCCAACCTGGTGCCTGATGAGCGGAGAGAACATGAGGAGGGTTCTCTGAAACTGTGTAGGGGTCCAGGCTGAAAAAGAAGAGGAAATTAAAAGTAATAATTTGTCATAACACAAAAAGATTTTCTATTCCTACTGTACCAAGAGAGACACAGAGATCTGACCCCAGGCTTCCTGTAATCCAAACCACACACCAAACCACATGGGTGGAAGCAGGAAGCTCCTTGTAAATCCATTTCATAGTCATAAACTCCCAAGAAAAAGTCCTTAAGATATTAATAGGGCCAGTGCAAGAAAGTCCATCTTATACTTATATGAGCTGAGCCTAAGGAGGTAATGACTTGTCAACATTTAATCAGCCATTTAGGACAGCTGACCAATGAGCAGAATTTGAGCCTGGAAATTTCATATATTTCATTACCTTATTACTGGAGTTTTCCATTTCTACAAAAGGTTCATTAATATTGAAATCAATTGTCCTATAATAATATTTTAGGTACTAGCCATGTTTTTTGCTCCTAGATTTGGGGGCAGATAAAAAAAAAACAGCTTTCAGGAAATAGATGAGAGCAAAGCTGGGAGTATTTAAAATCTTCTTATTGAAATAAGACAGCACAGAAATCCTAAATATTCAGCTCAATGGACTTTCACACAGAAATTAACCCCATGAATCTTCTAGAACAGGAAACATGATTATTTGCATCCTGACAGCCACTTTTATGCTAGCAACTAAGTGTGCCATAAGGCAGACCAATGTTAAGATTAATAGCTACAAAATAAAGCTTTCAGGGGTAACAGAAGAAGGTTCCTTGAGGGGAGCCCTTAGGTGAGGTAATGCAAATATGGCCTGGTACATGAAAATATTCAGGACAGTGTTGTGGCTGGGGAGGGGGTCAAGAGAGCAGAAAGGTGGCCTAAAGAACAAGCCTGAGTCTGCTGTTAGCTCCATAGGAGGGAGGGTAGGGGATCTGGGGAGGGGATGGGAAGATCCATCGTCAGAAGGGCCCCCTAAGACTGTTGCTGCTTCTTACCAAATCTGCCTCTGAGCTGACAGTGGTATCTCATAGTGAGGTCTCCCAAGTTATCCCCACATACACTATTGAGTTTTCTCCTACGCTCTGTAAAGTTCCAACAGTGATAAGGAAGAAGAGCATAGCAGATTACCCAGATGAGGAGAGTTAGAAGAGAATGCTGTGGCTTTAGGTTAGCTATCCAACTCCAATCTGGCTGAGAGCGAAGCGGGTGGAGGAACCGCGTACTCATTCCTTGCTCAATTTCAAGAGAACTGAGAAGTGGATGTGGTTGAAACAGAGCCTTCTTCTTTTTTCTTTTATTGAAAATAGATTCTTTTCTCATATAGCATATCCTTATTACAGTTTCCCCTCCCTCTACTCCTCCCAGTTCCTCCCCATCTCGCCTCCCATCTGGATCCACTCTATTTCTGTCTCTCATTAGAAGAGAACATGCTTCTAAGAGATAATAACCAAACATAACAAAAATAAACTATAGTAAGATGAAACAAAAAACATCACATCAAGGCTGGACAAGGCAACCAACAGAAGGAAAAGAGCCCCAAGAGCAGCACAAGAATCAGTGATCCACTTGTCCACACACTCAGGAATCCCACAAAAATACTTAGCTGAAAGCTGTGATATATACGCAGAGGACCTGATGCAGACCCCTGCAGGCTCTGTGCTTGCTGCTTCAGTCTATGTGAGTTCATATGAGGCTTGATTAGTTGATCCAGAGAGCCTTGTTCTGGTGTTCTCTATCCCCTCTGGCTCTTGCACACTTTCCACCTCCTCTTTCATGGGGTTCCTTGAGCTCTGACAGGAGGGATTTGATGGAGACATTCCATTTAGAGATGTGTGTTCCAAAGACACTCTCTGCATAATGTCTGGGTGTGGGGAAATAGACCCTTCTTTAGAAAAAGTTGGTGTATTATTTGTAGTCAATGTGATGTGGGTGGTATCAAAGCTGAAACTTCAATTTTCCTCATGTTTTAAATATAACTGCTTATCTAACTGAAAGCTGAAGGTTTTATCTATGTAAGATAGCCTTATTAATCTAACTATTTCAAAGCAGAAACTCTAAAAATATGAAGTTGTGTTAGTAATGGGTAGATTAATCACCTTCTCATTAACTACTTATTTAAACCCAAGAAAGAAACTGAGGTCTTAGTTATCTGAACTGATGCTCCCCAAGGAGGTTCTTTCAGAACAAAGGAGCAGTCTATGACAATTAGACCAGAGGAATCAATTGGGAAAATTTCAGTGGCAGGTAAATGTGTATATAGGGCACGGTGTGGTGGTAGTGGTAGTGGTGGTATGTACAAAAGTTCGGCAGAGTTATGAAGAGAACTAGTCTGCCTTTGGTAATCACCAGACACCCATCTTGTCCGTCACTGCCCTATGCTTTCCTCCCTGTCGCCTTCAAATTTCAAGTGCCATCCAGTTCTTGCCTTGGGTCCAAATTCTTATCACAAAGATTGTCTTAGCCTTCCCAGGCAGATAAAACAGGGCACATTAGACTATGTCATTTTAAAGCAACAAAAAATGTATTGTTCACAGTCCTAGAAATTGAACCATCCAAATAAAGTGGCTCATAGATTAAGTGTTTGATGAGGGGTTGTCCTTCAAAGAGGGCACCATCTTTGTGGTCTTGCTCAAAAACCATTTATCCTCTTTTTGTCTTTTTGGTTATAGCCTTTAATGGCTGATCCATCTCTCCAGCCTCCCATGATTTTTAGGAACAACTAATTCTGTTCATGAGATACCCGTCTCTCATTATCTAATCATCTTCTGAAGATCCCACCCTCTTAAACCATCACATTCAGGCTTAGAGGTGGTCAACAGGTGAATTGGTTGTGGAACACAGACGATTCATGCTGTACCACAGTTGTTTCTTCATTCCTCTCCTTCTTCTTGTTCCTTCCCTCTTCCTTCCCCTCCTCTTCCTTATTTTTATTTAAGAATTTTGAAAAGATTTATTTATTTGTGTTTACTTGTATGGATGTTTTGCCTACATGTATGCATGCATGTGAACCACATGTGCATGCCTGGTGCAAGCAGAGGTCAGAAGAGGGTATCAGATTCCCTGGAACTAGAGTGACAGACAGTTGTGAGATGCCAAGTGGATGCTGAAAGTCAAACCCAGGTCCTCTAGAAGAGCAGTCCATGCTCTTAGGCACACACTACAATTTTAAAACACTTCTAACTTATTATTTAAGGAGATTTTTGCCTTGTGGTTATTTTAAAGTCTGTGAAGTAATATCTACCTGTACTGAAGCCAGTGCAAAGTCTAAGTAAGCCTAAATTGTTTTCACTTACCTACTTTCTCACCAACTTCAGAGGTCCCCTAGATGAGCAATTTATTCTCACTAGTTATGTTGTAGATATTGAGATGACCTAAGTTTTTCAAGAACTTCATCAGACTTAAAACCAGTTGAAAGCACTCAGCCCTCATCTGGGGTCTATAAGAGTCCAATGGGTGACCAATTTTGATATCTGTAGGCCCAGACTGTGGCCTCAGAGTGCAGTTACAGTGCTTTAAGGTGTCGTATAGAGAGCCATATAAAGAACACTGGAATTTGAGTGTTTCAGCACATACTGCTCCAGTTACCTTTCCTCATACCTGAGGACACCAGGCTTTATTTCCATTAATACTCTCAAGCCATTTCCTCATTGGACTCTCCCTCTTCCTCACCTTTGACTGCCTGGTGAATAATGCTTTGGGGGCAGTGTGTGTGTGTGTGTGTGTGTGTGTGTGTGTGTGTGTGTGTTACCTTTTGCTGTTAAATCTTTTTGCTGACTCCAAGAGCTAAGAGGTAGGGCTTGTGATCATAGGAATGATTTGCTGCCTTTCAAGATCAACAGCAAGACACTACAAGAATGGCAGAGGCTCAAAAAGGAGGTCTCGGAAGGAAAGGCTGGAACTACAATACAGAGTCTAAAGTCTGAATGGGAGAGCAAAATGAGGGACCTGGAAGCATGAAGTTCACTCAGCCCATACCAGCGAAAAGTACCAAAATATCATTAAAGATCAACATTGACCCACAGCCAGGAATATATGAAAAGCATCAGTGAGTACTCTTCCAATTACTCTAAGATAGGAAAGTGATTAATTTGTTGTTTCCATTTGGTAAGCACATAATCAAATTTAATGACTTTGTACATGTCCCACACTTAGAATGGTACTTGAATCCAGCTCTCTCTGACTCAAATGGCCATGTGCTTGTCACAAAATTCTACTAACTCCTAAAATTGTTTCCAAACCACTGGGATTCTAGATAGGTGTGTTGCAGTGGGATGTGAGTTCTTTAGCTCTATTCGGATGTCAATCACAAATAGGCAAGACGTAGCTCCTTTCCTGCCAGGAACTGAGAACTTCAGATGCTGGTGTCCCCTGCCCTGAACATTCTGGCTTGGGTTTTAAGTGCTGGTCTCCTAGAAACTATCAGGTTGTGTTACAGCTCTGAGTTTAGAGTGTCAGGACCCTCAACTCAGCATTATATTTCCTTGGATGGTGGAGCTAGTAATTTTGATGGCTTTCTGGTATTCTCTTAGGGCTTGTAGCATTTCTGCCATCTCAGCTCTGAGTAGCTTTTTTACTTGTGAATCCTAAACTCTCCTCTGTATTTTCCCTTCTTGGCCTTAATTTGAGGTTCTCACAGTCTCTGCTCTTCAGCCATGTTCTAGCTATCGTTGGTTGTACTTGTGTGACAGCCTAGGGGGCTTTCTATTCTTCATGCCACCAGCTCACTCGGCTCCAGTAACAATGTGGAACACAGTAGGCAATAGAGACATTCGGATGTGACGCTATTGAGACATAATACCGCAGCAGCACAGGAGGGTTGTACAGGCGGGAGGTCTATAGGAATGGCCCTGGGGAAGGGAGAGCAAGGCTGACTATATAGACAGTCACACATACACATAGCCTCTCTCTTGCTGGCCATCTGCTTTCTACCTCATCATGCTGGTCTGCAGGCACACTAGGCCCACTGCCCTGATGATCATGGGCAGAGGAAGAATTCCTCCCTCACCATATTGACACCTGTAGAAATCTTAAAGAA